CCGTCCCTCCCTCCCCACACACAGCCGTCCGTCCCTCCCTCCCCACACACAGCCGTCCGTCCCTCCCTCCTCCCCCCACCACGCGTCCATCTCGCCCTCCCCACACACAGCCGTCCGTCCCTCCATCCCTCAATCTGTTGCTCTGGGGCTGGCCCTCTCCCAACATTCAGGGCTGGGATTTGCCCTCCCCCTGTTACCTTCTCCCAGTGGCCAGGCTCCCTGGGCAGACACCAAGGCCAGAGGCCATGGTCAGGGTCTCATGCTGAGCTCCTGCTCCCCAGCCTCAGCCCTGCGAGGCTCCCAGTTAGGGCAAGGGGGGGGGTGGGGCTCTGGAGCTGGCTAGGTCCTGGGCTGGGCCAGTGGGGCCAAGGGAAGGGGCAAGTCCGTGTCCAGCCTCCTCCTCGCCTGGGGCCCTGAGCGGTCAGGGCATTGCTGAGCCACCTTCTCTCTCCTAGATGTTGGAGAAGGTGGGGGGCAGCCCCACTGGGAAAAGCACCTGCTCCTGTCTGGGCCTCTTCCGCACGCCGGCCATGAGACGCATCTCCTGCTGCCTCATGAGTGTCAGGTAAGGGCCCTCTGCCTGGCCAGCCTGCGGCTCAGAGCCTCCAGCACCAGGGAGTGAACCTCCCGCTTCCCGGAGGGGATGGACAGAGCCATACATCCACCACAGGATAAGGGTATCTATCGGGGCATGGCTAGATGGTGCTGGGTGGAGGGGTAGAGTTGGAACTGGATAGAAGGTCAGCTATGGTGATAGACAGAAAAGGAGAAGAGGATCCATGGGGAGAGGGAAGGATGGACAGATAGTCCAACATCTAGGATTTAGTAATGAGGATGGATGGACACAGATACATCTTCCGGGATCTAAGTAGGGGATGGAGGGTCTGAGGGACTCAGGTACCTCTGCAAGGATGGGTGGATGGATGGATGGATGGACATAGCTAAATCTCTGAGCAAGGGTGGAAGGATGGACAGAGGGACACATTTGTGAGGATGGACGGGGGAGGGATGGACACAGATGTA